GAGCTGAGGGATAGCGCCCAGGCCCAGAGTTCAGGCCCCACGACCAGACCCCCCCCCCAAAAAAAAAGAAAGAAAGAAACATCTCTGAAGAGGAAATAAAAAATGACACAGGAAGAAATGCTCAACTTCTCTAGCCATAAAGAAATGCAACTCAAAACAACATTGAGATTCCATTTCACCCGAGTTAGAATGGCTATAAACAAGAAATCTAATAACAACAGATACTGGAGGGGATATGGTCAACAGGTAACCCTACAGCATTATTGGTGGGAGTGTAAACTTGTTCAACCACTTGGAAAAAAAGTATGGAAGTTCTTCAAAAGACTCCACATAGAATTCCCCTATGACCCTGCAATTCCACTTTTGGGCATTTGCCCAAATGATCACAGACAAGGCCATACTAAAGCTACCAGCACAACTATATTTATTGCAGCATTATTCACCATAGCTAAGATATGGAACCAACCCAGATGCCCCTCAGTAGATGAATGGATCAATAAAATGTGATAGATAGATAGACAGACAGATAGATAGATAGATAGATAGATAGATAGATAGATAGATAGATAGATAGATAGATAGATAGAAACTCTATGTCTCAATCAGAAAGAATGATACCACCCCATTTGTTAGGAAATGGAAAGACTTGGAAAAAGTATATTAAATGAAGTAAGCAAGGCCCAAAGAAACACAGGTCCCATGTTTTCCCTTATTTGCAATAACTAGTGTATGTCTGGGATAAGCAGAAAAGGTCAAAAACTATGTACATACGACCATATACGATGATGCTAAGTGAAATGAAATCCAAGATAGGTTGCTGTTGTTTTTAATATACTTATAATGTACTATGTGATTTTGTTGTTTCTTTTGTATGATCTTCCCCCATGGTATAACCCCTGTTTTCACTGTATTTGATTCTGGTGCCCTGCATCTTCTACATACATTTTTCTAATTTGGGGAGGGGAAGGGAGAAAACAAAACGTTAAATAAGGATACAGGATGACCCATTGTAACAATGAGATGTACAAGACTATGTTGAAAACGAACTTTACAACTTGGGGGGGAGGGAGGAGTTGGGGAGGTTGGAAGGAAAGGGATGGTAGGGGAAAAACAAAGGAGGAGGCAATAATGCTTGATAAGAAATGTACTCATTACCTTGCTCATGTAACTGTAACCTCTCTGTACAGTATTTTCACAATAAAAAAACTTATTAAACAAAAAATACAAAGCAGGAGGTACCATACTCAATAGGAAATGTACTCATTACTTGTTCGTGTAACTGTAACCCCTCTGTACAGTATCTTTACAATAAAAAAATATTTTTAAAGTACATTTAATTTGATCATTTAGAAAAGATTTACTGAGATTTCTACTATTCCAGAGACCATTCTAGAACCTTAAATTTGGCAGGAGCTGACAAAGATGGCTGCCATTGGGTTAGGAACAAATTGACAACCAATTTATCTTGTCTAAAACAGGAGTTCCATGAATTACTGCTAACATCCAGATATTCTTCTAGGGATCTTACTTTTAAAATGGAGTAGCTTACATAGGCTTATTTTACAATCATTTTTCTTTCTTGTCAAACAGAAAGAAGAATAATTTAAAAAAGGAAAGAAAGTTAATGAAGAATTTTTATTATGTTGCTCAATCTGGGCCTAAACTCATGATTCTTCTATCATAGCTTCCTGAGTAGACAAGGCTAAGATATACCACCACTACACCAGCATAACTATTATTTTTTACATTTGTTTTTGTTTCAATTATCCATTGACTTATCTGTATGCCATGATAGGCCTGAATCTATAACTGTTGTGTGAGCTCTCTGCTCTTATAAAACCCCCCAAGATGAACTAATCGATGTATAGCTTCAAAACTGTCCTTGGCTTATACTGATCAACAGTTTCTGGCTTATACTGATCAACTCAGAGCATGATTATCATTTTCAGAGAGGTAATACTTGTTCCAAAGACTTGATCCTAGTTCATAAGTTTCAAGTACTTATTTGATGGCATAGCTAGCCAGAGATAATGATTAGGATGAAGGAAAATAAATGTTTCATGTAAGACTCCAGCAGTGTGTGGCACAGACCATACTTCCCTATTCTCCTGAAATAAGCAATCAGAAATGGCTTTATAAATCAGAGAATTTAAAATCTAGAGCCTAATTTCAATCATTGGTAGTTTTAAGTAATGGGGGATACACTGGATTTTTTTCTCTTTCTAAACAGATGAAATCCTTAGGCAGTTAATCTCACTGCCTGAATGAGATTCTGCATTTCTTTCCCATCCCAGATACTTGGTCCTGGTTGAATTGTTTGGCTATCAAAAGAAATGAACATGTATCTGCTACCTAGTAGACAGATCCTACTTTGTACAGGAAAGCCCTCTGCAACAAAGAATTATCTGACCCAAATTGCCAGTAGTGGTGATGGGGTAGAAACTCTACCTCAATGTGAGATCCTTGCTCTCACCATACCTTACTTCTCTTTCCCAGGCTGGAAATTGTTTTCCAGGTGTAAACTAGACATGCTGGCTAACTTAGTTCTTTTGCTTTTCTCTTTGGAATCTAACAATCTATTAAAAAACAGATTTCCACTTACTGTCAGCAACGTGAAAAAGTTGGTTGAACAAGCTCTGATCATACCACTGAGGACTACAGGGTTTTTATTTCTCTCTGGAATGGCTGCTCAGGATTTCTTATTTCCTCTCACAAATGCAAACAGCTATACAAAGAACAGAAGCTGTTATAATTTTTTAGTTTGTTGTAAATGATTTGTGCATCGCTAAATTTGGAAGCCTAGATACAGCTTTTATGAACATGGAGAATTTCAACAGAAAAGAATTCTTAGGTTGAGATAGGTAATATGGTATTGGAAGAATAGAAAAATAATGTGGAAGTAGTTTCTTCAGCATGAAGAAGCCTCCTTGAATAAAGCATTTATTAAATGCACAAGAAGTATGACTTTGGAACCAAGAATGCATGTTGCCAGAATTTTGCAGTAATATCCTCATTCTTCTGTTATTTTTCTGATTGATATTAACAAATTGATTTGTGAGTTAAAAGTTTCTTATTAGGCAGTCCAAATTAGCCTCACACCTGGGTTCCTTTTGGTTCTTTTTCATACTGAGATTACAGTGATATACCACCATACCCACCTCTCTCTATCATATATAGAGCTCAAAATAGTTTGTAGATACTCTTACCATACTATTAACCGTACTATTAGTCTCATATTTAGCTTTTAGTTATTTCTTTTTGCCTTAATTCTTTCTTTTTTCTTTACTTCTTTCTTTGTTCTCCCTCCTTCCCTCCTTCCCCCCTTTCCCTCTTTCTCTTCTCTCTCTCATTTTTCTCCCCTTTTTCTTTTTTTGGCCAGGGAAGCCAGGACAGGAAATTTTTAGTTACTTGAAGTTGCAAAACTACTATCTGAACACAGTCCATGAAGTTTATATCCCTGTAGACATTAGTATATTTTTGAAATTGAACCAAATGCATAAAAATAGCAAGAAAACATTCATGTGTATTACCCACTAAGGTATGGGGGGGAAATTATTAGCATATCTATATTTGAAAAAGAAAGTTATGTGTTTAAAATGCAAAGGTGAAAATAGGAGGCAGAAGTAAACATTTATATCTGCTATCAGTTTTATTAAAATAAATACTTTGCAGAGGGTTTAGTCCACAACAGCAATAGAACAAGTCAGAAATATATAATATATATTTTCATTAAATAATATTAAGGTGATAAGTATCAGTAATGTAGCTGTAGATTAAATTATGCTTACATTTTTTGCTCACATCAACATTTTGGAGAATTGTAGGCATAGCTCTGGTGACAGAGTGCCAACTAAGGGGAAAAAGTGTCAAAAACTAAGTTCAAGTCCCAGTTTCAGGAAAAAAAAAACATTTTGGAAAATGGGAAGGTAATCTTGCCATTACTTAAAAAGATACAGCTAGAGTGACTTTCTATCATTGATACCTCCATAACCTACAAAACTATAATGATACTTAATTTTCATAACCTTAGGAGTGTTGAAAGATTCGCCAAATGGCTTTTAGGTCATCAAAGAAAGATAAAGCAATATTTGATGGATGGATAGATAGATAGATAGATAGATAGATAGATAGATAGATAGATAGATAGATAGATAGATAGATAGATAGATAGATAGATAGGTAGGTAGGTAGGTAGGTAGATACAAATTTTTAACTTGATATTTGTGATATTTGATATTTGTTCATTTGCTTATTTGTTTTTTAGACTTGCTATACAGCCCAGGCTGGCCTGGAATTAGAATTCTTCTGCTACTTCCTCCTAAATCCAAATCTGGGATTATTTTAATGGTGAGGGTTTTTACGAGCACGAGTCATGAGAAACTGGAAAGTCATGTATGATATAAACGTATGATATGATCTTTTTAGTCATGAAGAAACTGGGAAGTCATGTATGATATAAAAACTAATCATAAGACATAATTAACTAGAAAAACTATTCTTTAAGTTTTTAGTCTAATGGACAATTTGTGAAAAGAAAACCTATCATAACAAAATATGTGCTCTTCTTATAAATCATATACTGAGTGTGCCTCCCTCCAATTATATAGCTGTCCCTTGGGCCTCAGTTTTCCACAAGTGTTTAGGTCTCTATGACAATGCATCTGGCTGCTGAAATAGAAACACAGGTAATATGTGTTGGCAGAACCAGGCAATAATAGGGAAGAATCACTGGCTGCAGAAAAACACAGATTCTTCTTGAACATCTAACAATGACTCCTCCACCTTACCAGGAATCTACAGAGCCACCTGGTAGGGTACTCTAAGACTTTATGCCTCCAAGAAATTCTAGCAGGCTGGCAGCATTGAAAGGTATCAGTACCTTTAATGGCTGTTGTTGCACTGTAGCCTGGAGGTTCCCTGTGTGATTTCACTTCCATTGGTTCTTGAGTTTTACCATTCACTTACCATTCACTTGCCTATTTTGCCAGCCTCTTGGTGTCATGCAACCCTTCAGCATCCCCATTCAAATTACACTCCAAGGCAGCTGGAGGTGCCAAGGAAGGTAAGTCATCACCAACATCCGACATTCTTTTAATGGGCATCTTGCTGAGCATATAGAAGAGGAAGGATAATGAGTTTAAAATTGGTTGTGGGCTTTGTGCTTTTTGTTGTTAAGACTTTCCATATAACTCAGACTAGCCTAGAACTAGAATTCTTCTCCAACCTGCTGTGCCTCCAAAGTACCATGGTGGATTCCCAGCAGTACTAACATCATGAGACAGGAATATTCCCCCTCTTGATAACAAGTTCTCAGAGGCTGTATCTCTTTTTAAAACTTACCTCTGGATCCCACACTAGGTACTTAAGAAATGGATGAATAAAATGATGAAATCACACAGATATGTGGTCCCATTGGTCAGCCTTAATGTTATAGCCCTGCATTCTAATCCCAGTTTTACCAGTTAATCAGCTGCATGATTCTGAGCAAGTCCCTTAGCCTGTTCTGCCTCTTTATCTGTGAACCCTATGTGCCCTAGAATAGCAGTAAACTACATATGAAACTATATGGAACACTTCTTGCATAGGTTTTAGTGATGAAGAGAGAGTTTCTGGCTTCTGCTGATACAACTAGATTAGCTTTCTAAAATAGTTTTGCTTTGGGCTGAACCAGAAGGTACCAGTAGCAATGTGTCAAGCTCAGACGTGATGGGAAAATCAATCCTATGTGTCTCAAAGCTATTTCAATACTGTGAATACTGCCTCTCTAAACTAGGCTCTAATATTTTCTGTGTGAAATTTACCTATTGTTACTTGTTAAAGTGGGAGGTAAATACATTATCTTCAGCATTTCTCTGCCAAGCACAGATTCTACTACAAAAAGCAATGCAAACAGAGGTATTGCAACATTTAATGAAACAGATTCCTGACACCAGCCTTGGAGTTAAGGGTGGAGAAATAGTCAGAACTAAGGACCAAATTGGAGAAAAGAGTCAGAGAGTATTTGAAATATGATATGTTAAAAGTATCAGCTGTGTGTGAATGCTTAGAGGATAGTCTTAGAAGAGAATCACATAGGGATAATAGCTACATGCGTCTGACCTTATAAAATAATATTTATTGAAATGAAGTCCAGGAAGTGGAAACAAGAGTTTTTGTTTTTGTTTGTTCATTTATCTGTCTTTTGTAGGACAAGGGGGCACAGAAATAGAGGGACAAAGGGCAAACAAATGCAGTGGTGGTTCTTACTAGACACCATGTTGAAAATGAACTATTTAATTTGTTGGGGGGGGAACAGGAGGTAAACTGGGAGATAGCGAAGGAATGGGTGACATTTTTTCTAAAATAAATGCACTCTTTATCAGACTTAAGTAACCAGAACCCCTCTGTACATTACCTTTACAATAACAATAAATATTTTTTAAATACAGCTTCCTAAAAGAAAGTGTATTAGCATGCTAGGTACTGGGCTCATGTCTGTAATCTTAGCTACTCACAGGACTGAGATCTTAGTATCACAGAACCCAGCTCCAGCAGCAAAGTCTATGAGACTCTTTTATCTCCAATTAACTATCAGAAAACTGGAAGTAGAGCTATGGCTCAAAATGGATAGGATGTAGCCTTGAGCTAAAAAGCTCAGGGACAATGCCCAGGACCTGAGTTCAAGCCCCAGAACTGACAAAAAAAAGTTCATCAGGATATTCTTGTGAGAGGTTCACAGTCAAGGCTGGACATTATGTAGAAACTTAGATGATCTGTCAGTGGTTCAAATGTGGCTAGGAACTGAGAATTGGCACCTTGCAGATTGTAATGGTTATTGTGTTTACCCACTTATGTTATCCTGCAGTTACAATTGTGGTGTTTGTGAGCCAGAACTCAGGAAGGAAGGAAAGCATTTGAATGGGATGTGAATTCACAGAGTAAGTAATAGACTACAGAGAAGACATTCTTCTCTCCTGGAAATGAACCTATGTTTTATGAGCAATTTATGTGAATCCCTGTACAGCAAGAAATCAAATGACAAACATCAAAGCAAACAAGATTTTTTTGTTTTATTGTTTTTGTTAGTTGTGGGGCTTGAATTCTGGGTCTGGGCTCTGTCTTTTAACTCTTCAGCTCAAGGCTAGCACTCTACCACTTGAGCCACAGAGCCACTTCCAAAGCAAGCAAGTTTTAATGCCCTAATCATTATACAACTACCCGGCTCTAAAGGCAGTCATGCTATGTCCAACTCAATAAAATGACCATAGTTTTATTTTCACTTGTGAAATGTGCAATTAGATTGTTGTTTTTATGCAAATGAAGTATCTCTATTCAAACTCATTTGCAGTTTCCAAGAAGTTTTAATTTTTAATTGATAAGTTAAAAGTATAAAATAATTAATGGTTTCTGCTGCAACAAAAACAAATCACATAGAAATATTAATTCAATGAACCCAATGCTTCAGAGTTATATATACATATAGAGTTAAGTATGAGATAATTTATGTAATTTTGATGAGCTTCAGTGTTTTTCTAAGGAACATTTCTCACACAAGTTCCAGTGTTGGAGAAAGAGGCTTCTGTTGTCTGCTGGCACACACCTAAATATGCTATTTTAAACTGGGTTTGTTTTACCCTGAACCAGAAGGTACATGTAGCAATGTGTCATCATGGGAAAATCAGTCTTATGTGCAGCAAAAAAGGCAGGGTGAATAGCGAATAGTGAATACTGCCTTCTCTATGAGTAACCATCACTACATTGGTTACAAATGAAGATGTACTGCAAGCCAAAACAAGCAAACAAAAAGAAAAACAAAGCAAAAGTCTACTTCCTTTTCCTCATTGACTAGAGAGTAAATTAAATCATTCTTAAGTACTCTGAGGCTCTTCTTCCTTGGATGAAAAGTACTTGTAAATACCATAGTGCTAATTACATGACTATTTACGGAGACAACCTTATAATTTTCAGCTATACGTCATGATTAAGGAAATTATGACATATCCAATTGGTGGAATACCATGTAGTCAACAGAAAAAGTTACAAAGAATTGTTAATGAGGTGGCATTAAGTGAGAAATTAAAGTTTAAAAATAAAATAAAACTTTAGTGTGTTCATTAAACAATACAATACAGTACAATACAATCGTGTCTTCCTAAACAATACAGAGAAAGGAAGAACACAGAAAGTGAATCGTAATTACTCCTAAGTGGTAGAAGTGTGGGTAATTTTGAGGGAAGTCTCTCACTTTTCATAGTTTCAAGTTTCATGCACCTGGGCACTGATAACTTACTCCTGTAATCCTGACTACTCAGAGGAGTCTGAAATCAGAGAATCAAGGTCTAAAGCCAATCTGGGTCAGAAAGGCTGTGATACTTTTACTTTAATTAATCACCAAAACATCAGAAGTGTGTGGTCAAGTGGTAGAACATCAACTTTGAGCAAAAATGTTAAGGGACAGCACCCAAACCATTAGTTTAAGCTCCACTATTGACACGCAGACAGACACACATACCTATACAGACACAGATAAAGACACACTCTGTGTGTGTGTGTGTGTGTGTGTGTGTGTGTGTGTGTGTGTGTGTGTAGCATCCATAAACCCTGTTATTTTTTGAGGATTTCTTTATGCCTTAGATTGTGGTCAAGTCTTATAAATGTTGCACAAATATCTATAGGTACCAGCATACCACAAAAGATGGTCTGTACATATCAGTTAGATATACTGGCTAATTGCTTTGTTCAGATGTATTTCCGTGCTGATTTGTTGGGTTGAGACAATTACTGAATGTAAAAATATAATCTGATAGTGAATATTGTTTGTTTTTCCTTACAGTTTTTAATCAATGAAGCACTGTGATTAGGTAGATATGATTTAGAATTGTGTCTTGCTGAATTAAAATTTAACCAGTGGAGCTGGGAAAGTGGCTCAGTAGTAGAGTACTTGCCTCACATGCATGAGGCCCTGGTTTCAATTCCTCATAAGCAGAAAAGGCCAGAAGTGGTACAGCGCTAGTCTTGAGCAGAAGAGCTGAGGAATAGCACCGAGGCCCAGAGTTCAGGTCCCACAACCAACCAAATAAAAAAAATATTAGCCAGTGTTGCTATGTTGTCTTTACTCTTAACAAAACTTGTTAAATCAGTCTGTCTTTCTTAGCTGTGTTTTAGATGTACCTTATGAAAAGTATAAATAGGCATTTACCAAATACTTAGATTTATTTTAATTTCTGATAGGCTGATATAGTAACATTTTATCATAGTATTTCATACTTACCATTTGTCTTTTTGCAATTTTTTTCCTTTTTTTTTTCTTGTCCTGGGGCTTGAACTCTCGACCTAGGCACTGTCCCTCAGCTTCTTTTGCTCAAGGCTAGCGCTCTACCACTTGAGCCACAGCACCACTTCTGGCTTTTTTTAGTAGTTTATTGCAGATAAGAGACTCATGGAGTCTCCTGCCTAGGCTGGCTTCTAACTATTAGCCTCAGATCTTAGCCTCCTGAGTAGACAGGATTACAAGTGTGAGCCACTATTGCAAGGCTTCCTTTTCTTTCTTTCTTTCTCTTTTTAAATTTTCTTCCCTTCCATCTTTTTTCTCTCTATAAGTTTGGGAGTTATTTCACCTGTCTGCACTCAGTGGCTAAACTAAATAAGTAGCATTGATTGAATTGATAATATAAAATCAAATTCTTTACTCCTCTCCCCAAAATATCAGGCATTTCTAATACATTACCACTGTTCCATTTCTAACTTATATACTCTTGGAATTTACTTTTCTTTTAACCTTCAAAACCCATTATAACATTAATACCTATTAATGCTTTATAAAGTCAGTATTTTTGCTTCTTTATTTACTTCTATATTGCTCTTAATTCTGCTTAAATCTCAGTGGTTCCATCAAATATTTTCCTTCTGCTTAGGGTAAATACTTGATCTTCCTCTCTAGACTCAATTGAGGCCAAACTTGGTTTGCGTGTATTTGTAAAAATGTTTTGTTATGTAATGAGGCTTGAGAAATTGTTTTCTAGGTATAGAATTCTGTAGTTACTTCTGTCAGCATATTCATAGTATTGCTGTCTTCTGGTTTCT